TCCTTGGAAGCGAGAATGGCCAGACTTCATCTCACCTACTTTGGTCATGTTGTCAGAAGGGACCATTCTCTGGAGAAGGATGTCATGCTTGGTAAGGTAAAGGGTCGACGAAAGAGGGGAAGGCCTTCAACGAGATGGATTGACACAGTGACTGCAACAATGGGCTCAAGTATAGCAAGGATCATGGAGCTGGTGCAGGATCGGGTTGTATTTCGTTCTGCTGTGCATGGGGTTGCTATGAGTCGGAAACAACTTGACAACACCTAACAACAACAACACATGCCTTTTAGATAACTTACTAAAACTGCCTGAGCCTCAGCATTCTTATTTGTAAAATGGGAAGGATAATAGTCTAATAATGTTGCTGAGTTGTAAGATTAAATGAATTTATGTTTATGAGTCATCTAACATAATAGCATCTGGCACATAAAAGGTCCTTTAAAGCTGGTTACTTATTATTTTTTATCATCCTTATTTTACAGAGATCCATTCATTATCAAACACTTGTTAAGCACTTGTGTGTCCCAGGAACTGTACTAGGTTCTAGGAATACATAGTAAACAAGAAAGCTACTGTCCCTACATTCATGAATGTTAAAATCTAGTAGGAAATACAAATACGTTTACAGATAATTACAATATATTGTAAAGTGCGTTGTTATAAGGAAAGAGCAGTTATTGCCTGGGATCTGAAGGAGGGACACATACACAAACTTAAGGCACTAAAAACATCAAGTAAATGACTCAAGGCTACATGGGTAATACGTGGTAGAGCCAAGACTAGAACCCAGGTCTTCAGGACTCTAAGTCCAATATACTGTTCTCTTTGCCATGCTATCTCTGTTGTAGTCAGTAAATTGTATATGGCCAGGGTACTGCTTTATGTTAACTGGACTATCATCTATTTCAGGAATATTATGTGTCATATGAAATATTAAAGAAAGTGAGCCCCTTAGAGGCTAAGCTGATTAAAGATCCTAGCATGAAGTGTAAGGTCAGATTCAGGTATGTTGATTTATTTCAAGAAATACTAAGCTAATATGAAGAAATCTTAGAAATGTATTTTTTTAATCCTCATAATTTCTCAGAGGGATTGACTCAGTGGCTGCAACCATGGGCTCAAGCATAGCAAAGATTATGTGGCTGGCACAGGACCAGGCAATGTTTTGTTCTGTTGTATGTAGCATCACTATGAGTCAGAACTGACTCAATGACACCTAACAACAACAATTACAAAGTAAATGTGTTGTTATTATTTACATTTGTTTTTTGAATAAACTGAGGCATGACTTTTGCCAAAAAGTTGCCTTGAGAGTAGCTCTTTTTTTGGGGGGGGGGGT